GGGGTACAGGCCAGAGACGTGGAGGGTGAGAGGATTCACCAGAGACAGCATGGGGAGCAGAACAGGCAGATCGACGAAGTACACTGCTGAGGGGAGCAGCGGGCGGGTCAGGAGAGGTCTGCCGCGCCCTGTGGTCACCTCCGGGGCAGGCGGGAATCAAACTCATGCGGAAGTGGCTTTAGCTTCTTAGTGCAGTGCTTTAACCCGCTGCGCCACCAGGGAGGGCCGCCATCCTGATCTTAATAGTTAAACTTATAACTAGAAGAGTGCTTTCAATCTATGGATTCTGCAGTGTATTCCCCTGTGCTCAGACTTCTACTATCCCTGGTCACTGTCAGCCTTGAACATCACCCCCAGCTAGGACCGAGTATTTCAACGAGGCTTCCTTATAAACCTGTTCACATCTTGCTGTGGGTGCCTTCCCTTGCCCCAGAGATTTAGAGGGACTAATCGCTAGGTTTTGTTTTCCTTCCCGGTAAAATCTGCCCCAGTGCTAGACGGTCTGCCACTTTCCCCCCTGACATTTCCTTTACATAGTGCTGCTATTCTAAACTGATGGCCACACAGTCCTTCTCAATAACACGGAGACAAAACGCTGTGCATAGCTGATAAATTATAAGCAGGCGCCGAGTGTTAGCTTGATGGATTGTTACAGTGAATGTGTGTGAATCATGGGTGTTATTTTTGGTCAAAAGAATTGTGTGAACTTTTCTCCTCTATTTTGAGTGCTTTGAAATGTACTACTTTCTTTTCTTTCTCTTCTACTTTTTTTTTCTTTGTTCTTTAAGGTGTATGTCAAGGAATTAGGCACCATATCAGAGTAGTCATTTTCTAGTTTTCAAAGTTATTGTTTTGGAGTTGAGGAGGTGGAAGGGCTGAATAGAAAGGAATCGTGTGTTGACAAGTGAGCCAGCCTGTGAAATGTAAAAGAAAATTACAGTCACCTGCTTTAAAGGGAGGTCTCCAGCACCCCACCTTACCGTAGGGGTCAATTTTAAAGCTGGGATAGATTTACTGTGAACTCACTTGTGATTCTAATTAACCATTGTTTTGCGGCCACTGTAGAAATGCCGACTTTATTTTACTAGATTTCTGTCAGCCAGGCTGCGGGGTAAATTGTGTTTGACAGTCCCATCACTGGGTCTCTAAATCGCTGTTCCCTAACACTGCTCTGTCCTCCCTGTCAATGGAAGTGTTGAGGTATGGGTGTTCACCTCACTCAAATGTCCAAATACCTGGGAGCATCGCTGGGCTAAATGCTGTTCAAAGCCAAGCTCAAGGCCAATGGAAGCTGCTCCTTTCTGGTCTGAGAAAAGATAAGTACAGAAATTGAGAGTAAATGTTCAGCAACTTTTATAGCCATCCAAAAGTTTGATTTTATGTCTCTTCAATCTAACAAATACTTGGGATCTTGATGTCTTCTTAAATTCATTTTCCTGTAATTGATCTGTCATGGGTTGGAGGTGGAGAACGGCCTTTCAGCACTGATAGACAAACTTGCACCGGGTTAGTTACAATGGCGATGTGGGTGAAGCCATGATTGA